CGGGTATTCGTCAAAAGTTAAGGATCCTCGTCCCACTACCAAAACCTGTTATTATAATTGGAAACTGTTTTTCTTCGGCATGACCATAGCTTTGATAAATCATTTCTGAAAAGAAAACCACACTTTGTAGGACTCCTCAATATAAAATGAACAAAACATTATCAACAGTGGTGTTCTGTACGTAAAACCTCAGACCAGGATTACACACCTGCCAACTGAGCTCTCTGTTCAACGGAGGAACTTTTGCTTGTTTGTTTGTTTGAGTGCCGGGTCCTCTTCAGTACTGAGTAGCTCGGTTATCAACCAGAAGATGAATAGAACTTTTCCAAGATTGTGCTACAGTTTTATCAAAAACTAAATTAAGGGGAGGTAACTTTTATCCATCAGAAAATGAAAATAACTTTTCCCAAATTGCGCTATATAGCCAAAAGGAAATTAAGGGGAGGTAACTGTTATTCATCAGAAGATGAATAGAACTTTTCCAAAATTGCGCTACAGTTATAGCCAACAGGAAATTAAGGGGAGGTAACTGTTATTCATCAGAAGATGAATAGAACTTTTCCAAAATTGCGCTACAGTTCTATCCAAAATTACATTAAGGGGAGGTAACTGTACATAAGCAAAAAAAAAAAACCCAGCGGAATCTCTAGTGTTTTGCATGTAGTTGAGGGTATTGTTAATTAAATGCTGAATGTTGTGCTTGTTGCCTTCATCATGGTATTTCAATGAGATAGCACTATAAAGTCGGCATCAGATCCGTGCTACATGTATCTACACCAAAAGACACTGTCTCCGACACACAAACACACACGCGCGCGCATACATTACACACATGGAGGCACCTCCTCAAAAGTTCTTAGCTGTTGATAGGACGTTATACCCTTACAACCAACCAACCAACCGTAAGTATATACATAACGTTCTTCTTGCAAATCAGGATTGGTTTGGTTTGGTTTAGTATTGTTTAACGTCCTATCAACAGCTATGGTCATGGATGCATGAGTGTAGTGTATGCGTGTGTGTTTTTGGAGGCTGCGATATGTTCTGTTTGTCTCCATGTGATAGCGCGGAACTGATGCCGACTGTTTAGTGCTACCTCACTGAAACATACTGCCGAAGACACCCAGCAGGACACCCCACCCGGTCACATTATACTGACAACGGGCGAACCAGTCGTCCCACTCCTAAATTGCTGAACGTTAAGTAGGTGTAGAAACTACCATTTTGACAGACTCTGGTATGTCTCGGCCAGGGGACAGAACCCAAAGCTTTCCTCACAGGGGCGAGCGCTCAAATAAAGGCCAAAAAAGGCATTGTCAAGGGAGACATTAGGAAGAAAGTTGTTTAGAAAGAAGAGAAAAGAAAAGATCCCAAATTTAGTCGCCTCTTACGATCATGCAATGGGGGCAGCAGGTACAATTATTATGCCCTACCTGCAGGGACCTGCAAATCAGGAAAGTCTCAATATATACATGTTGTGCCCTTTTTATCATGTCCCTGTGTTACGGTGACTGGAGTACAGAAGCGATCTACTCGTAGGCCTACTACGTTTCATCAAATTTCAATAGGAGATACATGAGGCAACTTAAATGACCTTAGGTGTAGATTAGACGTTAAACAAAATAGACCCAAACCAAAACTTTATTGTGATGTCCTGACATCTCATTTCATATTCGACTATAAACAGTCTAGTTAGAACAGTCTGTCATTAATTACATGTATATTATTGGATAAAATTGATTAATTGAAGTGTCCGTACATTATAATTAAGTATGGCCTTGGTATTTATAACAAATATTCTCAAGTTCGCGGTGTCTCATCATCTAATTCGGAACATTTGGATGATTGGGTTTTTTAACTTACGTTTCAAAAGACATAAACCATCGTTGTAATAATATTGACATTTATTGAAATTACGTTCCATGTTAAACTCAAAGACGGGTATTATATATGTCTTCAAATCCAATCAACTCGGAGACTTTCAGAACCTGAAACAAGTAATTAAGGGCGCGCATAATGTATGCAGAGACTTGTATATTACATAATATATACGTCTATGATGTATGCGTATTTAGTTCTTATTGAAGTTTAAACAATTATGTCACTTTTAAAAAGTAAAACCAGAAATACAAGTTTCCGTCATATTGATGATCAGTACATGTACTCTATACGTCTCTGATGTATTGGCGTGCGTGTAATGAAAGCGTTGTTTGTAATAAAGGGCCATAACTCTGGTATACAAAGGGTCGTCTGCCGCGGTCAGATATATGAGGCCGTCCTTTATTGGAAATAATTTGTTGATCACCCTGTCTGGTGGTCAGTCTGGTATGGAATGACCGCCGCGACAGGTATTTGTTCTGCAATTAGTGACGGGGCGTGGGTGACGTAATTTATCGGTGTGTGTACATAACACATCAGGTAAGTTTCGTCAGTAATTATTGCGGTTATACAATGGATACAACTGTTGTTACAGGTATCGGCTTGGTAATGTCTCGCCTGTCACTCACTAACGATCAAACGCTAGCTCAATTATACCTTATCAATCGATCAATAATCAATGACAAAAAACGACCCCTATTTAGTCATAGTCTCGCTTTCCCCAGACTCTCGCCCTCGAGACTCGCGGTGGCACAAGTCTCGAGAACGACCCTTAGCGGAAAGCGAGACTAATATAATTAGCCAGTACCAGTACTACTAAAAATCCTCATAAACGCACTGGTCAAGTTGAAGCACATGACAATTATATGTTTTGACTTCAAATTAATATACATTTCAATAACAACGATATGCTAATATATATATATATAATTTCACTTAAATGTATACCATTATATCTGCCTTTCAATTAGTAGAACAGTTTGATATTAATTTGCTATAATCAAATACGTCTCTGCTATAACGTCAAAAACTTCAGCTAATAAAGAAACGAAACGAAATGATGTAATAACAGTTAATATGAATACACAGCAAAATTCTCTTCCGTCTAACATTTAAACAGTGTCTCGCGCATTCTTTTGACCGCGATACACAAAGCCTACAAAAAATTTCTCTACATTACACGTTTGACTCTTTAGGGGTGAAATCGACGTCTGTGCAGAACAAAATAAAGGCGTGTCCTTTGATGTCGTCGTTTACAGGTGAAAAATTCAGCTCCGTGAACTTGTTCGTTATTAAAAAGGCCGAGTGGAGCAAGGTCAGATTCTGCTGTCAATCACTGTCCTATATATTTTTATTGAATTTTGATCCTATTCTGGATAAGGAGACAGAAGAGCGTCGATAAGATATAAGTTATCGGTAACTTGCGACATTTAATAGACTCACAAGTACTATGAGATTTTTAATTTCTAATTTCAAGCAGTGTAATTAAGCTAAGGAATAAGTTTATCAGTACCATTACAATGCCATAAATTCGGTATAATTTTTCATGCAGATTGTATATCTATACAGAGACATATAAAGTATAGTATATACCAGTCTCTGATCTATATAAAAGTGGCACGGTGTCAAAGTACGTGTAATTAATCAAGAACGTGTCTAAGTAAGGGGGATTGGGGAGGATCCAGAAATCCCATATTTGAAGATGAAAAAGACGTTACAGAAAAGAGAAAGAGAAAAATAAAAACGAGAGAAATGAAATGATGCATCATAAAGTTACTAATCTATCCACAAAAGTAGAAACATGACTGCTTTTTCTCATCGATATTTAATGGAGTTAATGATACCCGAATATTGTAATATACGGAACAGATTGGCGATAGGGAAAAGAAGAATGTAGTGCCGCCCACTTTTCGTTTCCAAATCTGATGGCGAAGGCTTAATCCTACAAGGCTTGTACATGTGTCCCCAAAGTAAAATTGTTATATAACAGTCTGTCAGTGTGTGTGTGCTAGAAGCTGGCACTGTGTCCTCAGTCCGAACGACTCGTGTCATTCCCAGGCCCCGTCCGTACAGACGACGGGGGTGTGTTTCTGTCGCTATCCCCACTGTTAGTGTAAACTTATCAATCCAGGTAACTGATAACATCACATACCTGTACACAATTATACAAAATCTGACGAGATGAGGCACACAACACTTTTAATTAAGATAAAAGACGGCCATAACAGTAGATAAGATGATCTCAACAGATAACAGGTCTCGTTTCCCACGATATCTGCATAAAATAAACTCCGAAATGTGCGGACACTGAAATTACATATGCTAATTGTTTGATAATTGTTGAGAGTTAAGGTAAAACTCTGGAGATCCACAGCAGTGAAAACAGAGATAGTATTGTTTATATTTCCCAGACAGACATGTAGGTATTGAGCTAACATACAATTTAACATACACAAGAATATGATAAGAATGGTAGATTCTTTCCTTTAATTAGCTGATGTAGGCTATAACGCGAGGCAAGATTTTATCAACTGTTTTGTTATTACGAAAGGAATGTTCATAATTAAAGCGTGCAGGTGATTTTTGACATTTTGAGATCGAAATGACACATTGTTGAGTTACGGATTAAAATCTTCAAATTGCCACTTGTAAAACTTAATTAAAATAAACAATTAACATTTTATTTCTGAGCAACATAATTATAAAAGTTGTCATTGATAGTCGGAGAAGTCTTTTATAAATTCTATCGTTTTCATTTTATTTTGCAGCGTCTGTAAACGTTTTTTTTTTCAAACAGTTTATTATTATTTTATTAGGAAAATATCTCGACCTAAATTAGAACCAATATCAGAGTTTGGATCCGCTACCGAATAAAAAATATAAAAATTGTTATTGAAAGAAGAGTTAAACATTTAAAAGTTGTTAAAACTACACCATAATAATTTTGTCGGTTTTAAATGAAGATTTAAACATATTTAGTAATGCAATGCAAAAGATTCATAAAATGCAAACACGTTTGCTACGAATATTGCCTAACTGACTGAATTTAGCCACGTCCCTTTAATATATATGTATATATTAGTACGTAAATGGGTTGTCTGATAGACCCGTTCCGACAGCACACTGAGGAGCCGGTCCGGATTGGCTCAGAGTTTAGTGTGTACAAACTTAGTTATCTCCCCCACACGGCAATGGACCGTACGTATTGGCGTGTGTAGTAAACGGACGGGCTAACGGACTGTACGGAACAACAACAAATGGATTTACCTTAGGTTGTGAAGAAAAAAATCAGCAAAAAAGTTGGAAATACGCCGTTGTGACATCCTTGTGCATCAGAAGGCCTCCGATTATTTGTGATATGTACAACAGTCTACAGGACTGTAGCTTTTCGTCGAGTGCCCTCGGGATTTATACTTCACCGCCTTAGCGTTAAAGGGGTAGTATTGTGATTGTGAGTATCATCATATCGTCGACTCATATACCACTCAAACACGAAGCAGAGGATTAGTGTGTAGTTCGGTTTCAGTGAAAAAATACCATGTAGTGGAAACAGCAAATCAATATGGATTAATTCATCAGAAGTTAGGTTACATATTTTTTGTGTTATAATTTTTTAATTTATTTATTTTATTTGAGTCTGAAAAGGAAAAATCAAGATGAAGCCTAAAGGATATTTAAAATTCAACATGGATATTTCGTTTTGGATTTATATTGGTTGTATATTATTAAGTTCTATTGAATGTGTGTATGGAGTTTGTCCGGAGAAGTGTATTTGTGAGGGGAGAACGGTGAACTGTGCGTTTAGGGGCTTCAACAATGTGCCTCAGGATATGCCGAAACAGACGCACAAAATGTAAGTATCACTTAAAAAATGGTAAAATTCTTCTTCTTAAATTGAATATTAAGATCGCATAATACATGTAAAAAATACTCAAAAATGTAGGACCCTTTAACGCTGGTGTTCTCAAAAAGAAACAAGCACGTTAGCTGGTATTTATTCTGGGACCCCCATGAAGTGTAGTTTTAAAAACAAACATAATTAAAATCTCGTTTACAAATGTATACCAGTGATAAATTAGCACGTGCAAAATAACTCCCTATTACGTACCTGCCCTGGTTCTATCCAGGTAAACATAATGAAATCACTGAAACGCCGTCGTTTCCTTCAATCTCATATCTAACAAATTGAGTTTCAAAGTGCAGGTAAAAAAATTCAAATGTCCCAATTAAATTTCACAGGTAAACACCGAGAATAGAAACTCGGGAACCTCAATTCACCAAGACAAATTGTTGAGTGTTTTTTGTACCCTATATCTAGTGTTAACGACTACAGATATTGCTGCATTCCCTATTTGTGTGTTTCCAGACAATGCTAACTTTACATTAGGTAGCGTTATGTGTCGTTTTTACATATTTGATGTCTTGAAACTAGTTTTCTTTCCGTTAGATACACATTCCCGTGTTTTTATCAAGTGTCGCCTTGACACAAAAATGTATTCGTCCAAGTCCTCTCCATGTTTCTGTCACAGAAACTTTGCTAGATCCCGCCTTTCTGTCACATAAAGTAAATCCATTTAGCAACAGACAGTTGAAAAAGTATGTAGGCCCTAGTATAGATTTTCTCTCAGAAACAAACCTGTTAAGCTACAGGCAGTTGATAAAATGTCTTGTAGCTTTAAAGGAGCAATTTTGATCAGTTACGTCCAGTCCTTAACTCTACCATTTTCACTAATAACAATAAAGTTATCTAAACGATTTGGAGCGAAATCTGTAAATGCTAGTCAAGAAAATCTGAAACATGCTTTCCAGAAATATACGAAACATTTCACAACGATGAAGAAATTCGAATTAATCTTGAACAAGAGAAGCTATAATAATTCATACATGTCAAACTTTCGTCCTTTGTACGTCAAATTTGACAGTTACATATTCCGGACCCACTTTGGAGTAATCGTCTAAGAATTTATCTGCTTTTTCATTATTATGAAAGTTTCATTATTTAAATTTGAAGATGATTGCCATAAAAAAACCCAGACCAATTCGTTTTTAAATCTGTCTCCAATTGTTAAAATCTCCGCTGGCAGTTTTATGATATTTCTGTTACATAACGTGATTTTAATATAAACCTGACCAAACAGGTGTGCTGACAGAGACACAATATATAATTTACGATACGCCCTCAAGACGCTAGAAATGACATCACAATATTTTAAAACGACATTTTTATACACCCTTGGGACATTATCAAATGTCGATCATTTATTGAAATACAACAACAATTGAATGGTATATCTCTAGCAATCGTCATTGATGTGAATCCCCTAGGGAAATAGGACCAGTGCTATCATATTAAAAGTTTTCATTACAAATCTATCTTATTTGTAAATAATACTTTTGTACTCGATAGCAACGGTAACATTGTAAAGGAATATTCAGGAGTCATGTTATTTTAAACACATTCCATCTACATCATGTAGTCTGAAAACAGATCTGTAAGAATTTATCATCGATTTCATTTCGGTTGTCATTTTCTCACATCCGCTAAAGTACATTTCTGATTCATAACTGTGATTAATTAACTCGCTTTCCTTTGTAAACATCCCATAATATCTTGAAATGAACACCTTTACTTACTTAATAGAAGTTTATTATATATATAAATTTGTTTCATAGATCCCAATTAAGCGCCCGTAGAGAATGTTACCTATATTTAGCTCACCTGTAAAATATTTAATATACCGGTAAGTATGTATATATAGGACATTTTTTATAACACAGGTAAGTGTATTATTGTGTATAATGGATGTTTAGGTAACAAGACCACCTTCACTTTTTCATACTAGGTATAAAACCTCGTAACACAAGGTTAAATAAACTCATGATTTACCTAGGTAAGGCATTGTTAGATCCGATTAATTTTATGTCAAATTATTTCACAATAAATAATTTGGTAGGAATGCAGAGAGTGTGAAGTACCTGCATAGTAAGTTCACAAAGTGCATTGATCATTGATACTTGCTCTCAAATATAAACAAAATTTGACACCGTTGTTTGATAATGTCGCAGCACTACTTTCGGTAGTCAGATCATTTTCACCAGACTTACACAAATTTGATAAAGGTACAGGCAATTCACGTGCAAATGCCGAAATATTGTTATAGTTTTTAAAGTCAAGCGCAGTTCGTGTCTTGACAATTATAAAGTGTAGTTCTTGGGACGGAGTGTAATGCGTTAAAGTATATATATTTTCACTAGAGTACGTAAATACCCGCGAAATGTGTGTCACATACAACTTACGTCATCGATAATTAACCTAGTTTTTAGGACGAGCACAGCACGTGCGACGTTTTAGTGCAGATAAGAAATAAGGAGAGGCGAGACACAAAGCGTGTGTTATCGTCAGTCGCCATAGCCGTGTGTTCACCCGTATAAAGGTTTATGTCAAATCTCATGTTTACTCCCGAAACAACCAGCGACATGTACAGTATTGTAAATAGTGGCCATTTATATGTTGACATTTATGTATAACAGAAAATAAATAAATGAATAAAATATCAACAGGAAGAGTAGTTACATAGAAAAGAACAAGGCGTGTTTAATGTTCATCTGAAAATAAAGAAAACCAAACCGTAAAGTTTTATCAAACTATGTTTTCTTTCAGTGGTATGGTGTACATAAAGTTGCTCTTTAAGATTCTTGAATTTTAAAAATGTACACCCATATAAATATTTACATGTGATTGTGCATTCACGTATTGCAGACTATTTAATACGTGCTCAGAATTAAACTAGCTTAGACACATTTATACAAACGAAGTTCATTGACGAACAGACGAAACACATACATGTATATAAGAAACTGAAAAATGCGTGGACGCGGATGATCTGTTCCTAGACGTCGTAAGGACCAGGTTTTTCTCGACCTTCCTGTACAGTTCGCCACTGGTAGATTCTATATCAGCGCGACCCCAGAAAACCCTCCCTACTCAAGATAAGCCCCTCGTGTTCATCTCATCTCCCTTCACTGTAAACAAAATACAGTTTTACAGACTCCGAATCGCGGCTGTATAAAATGCGGGTGCACGTGTTTGGCCACTTCTACGCGCGTAAAGGCGACAGAAGTTACCCATCATTTTTGGCTACACGCACAAGTCTCAAAATTATTATAGATAAAAAAGGTATGTCGTACTTTTGATCAATCTCAAGTGGTCTTAGTATATATATTGAGAAATACAAGTACCAAATAAATTCATGTGGCCACAGTTTTGATTTGTTTGGAGTAGGTCTCAAAAATTAATATAGATAGATGTTTCGCCCTCGGTTACATTAATTGGCGATAGTACCGATACCGAGGCAGCCCCATGTTTTGAGTTTCACGTGACGGGCACGCGAAACGAGGGTATTTCCAATATATTGCAGGATTTATTTCGAGTTTGTAGCAATTGATAAAACCGCAGGCAAATTTACTATTTCTGATACCTAGATACGTATATGTTGTAGGGTCACACTCTATTTTAAGTTATTTGTATGAAAGAGGAATGCGCGCACGTGCACGCGAGAAACATAAAACAGAAGTCGCGACTCGGGGTAGGTCTGCATGGTTACAGGACTGATGTATCACAGACACAAACACTAATTGTTGATATACATACAGATATATACATATCTTTGAGATCTACACATCCGCTCGACATTCAGTCTTAAGTGGCGTTTGTAGTAGAAACAAACGAAATGCACGCCAACTCTGTATGTTTGCCCAAAAAATATGCGCAAGTTTACGATTTTTATTACTTTAAGTTTTGCAAATCATAAGTGTGCGCTCCGAAAATATAACAGTTACCTTCGTACCGCGAAAATTGACTGACTATTAAGAAGTGTACCGTTGGATTAATAAAAGAAGTCGGGAGTACTAGTCTGATGAGGAAAAGTTCAATTGCACCCCTTATAAATGTTAATGCATAATATCGGCCACCACAATCCAATCTCATGATGGCAAAATGTTGATATTTACTCTCGAACAGTTAACAGTTACATGTCCGTCGGTTATAAATAGGAAATCTGGAAAACGTTAAAAAACGTTAAAAACGTAATACCTTCCCAAAATGGAGTCACCTATTGACCAGAAGAGGCTATTTATCAACCCGTGTTTTTGTTTAAACACAGACACTGTGGCTAAATAGACCTAGTATATATACTATAGGAAGTGTAACTTGTCATAACATACATTTACATATTTTACCCCATCACATTTTATTACTTTCATTTTTCAGTAGTAGTAAGTATTTGTAATATAGTGAACGTGTTTAGTTTTTGGATGTAGCAACTATTTAAGCCATAAACCAAAAAAGATAAAACTTTTGATCAAAATAGCAAAACAGGATATTCATCTACAATGCCATTTGAAAAAATTACCAAACGATGTATTATTTTCAATATTTTAAACACAATATCTCTAGAATTCATATTGTATGTCGCACATTCCTGTGGCGTTCCGGTGGCGATTCCGATGCTGACCCACGTTGTGTGGTTTGTATGTATACTTATCTATTATCTATGTTTATTTTCCAGAGATCTACAAGGCAATAATATTACAATAATCAGAAGGAGAGACTTCGAGGGATATCACCAACTTAGAAATTTGTAAGTATGGAATTTACCAAAAGTGTCACGGCATTGTCCATTTCAGTACCGACATCCAGTTCTACTGTAATAGATCGCAAAACTTTCTAAGATTTGAATTGACTGAATCGGTTCTTTCTATGTAGTCAAACTTCGATGTTTCCAACTTTGCGGTACCATCGGGGAATAATCGAATCATAGAGACTTCGACTCATGAATGTTGACTTCAAACATCTTTGAAATCTACATATGACAGAATAAGATTGTTAAATGACAGAACACAAGGCAAAAAATTATAATTTAAAATCTATAAATATTGGATTCAATATAATAAGAAAAATATGTTTGATGAATAAGTGTTTCACTGTTCTCGTACAAGTATTTACTTAGATTCAATAGTTCTAATTTACAATGTTATCCTAATGATCGGGCCTTGAATGTAATTTGAAACAGCGAGAAATGCGACTCATAAAAGTTCGATTCATAAATGGAAAATCAGTAGATTTATACAAAGAAAAAAACCCCGGACTTTGCTGTAAGTTCGACACGTTAAGAAATTCGTAAGTTCGAAGTTCGTTTTATAGAGGTTTGACTGTGTTTGTGTCAGTAAAGATTACACACACTACTATTTGCCGAGTTTATCGGCTAGTCAAGCCTTCGGAACCGACTACTTCTGTTTTATATATGAAACAATTATTACATTATGATGTTGGAGTCGTGTTCGTTTCAGCTCGGTAATATAGGTACATTTCTTAGCTGCAGTAATCACAATGTTTTGACATGAGGTGGATACTCTAGTTTGCCAACCTCAGATTAACCTATAAATAGAAGTAAAAAAAATAATTGGGAAACAAATCAGTAATACAGATGTTTATCAATAGTTACATTGTATCAGATATGTACATCGCGCTCTTTTGATGTGTTAATGGATCTATAGTCTTCCCCGGGAGGAACGACACGGGAGGGGGGAAGGATTATGTGACCCCCGACTACAACTATAGACGTGTAGCGAGCGACACACTAAGTAGATTTCACGGTGTTTAAACTCGGTAGTTAACCAACGTAAAAACAGATGTCCCGCATCAGACCCTCGTAAGTGTTCTGCATACCAAGAGAGCAAAGACTCCTGTATGCTGCATACCCTTGGATCGAGGTTCTCATGTGAACGGGTTAGCGTTCCGGACCTCTGTCTGTACGCGTCTATACCGACTCTGTCGTCTAGTGGTGTAAACGTCAGCGTGATTGTCGTTAGAACGATGATAACGGCTATAGGGAATGCACATGCGGTAAAGGTTGAACACGCTTTCTTGTGTTTATTAGCATTTCAGTGTCTGCAAAGAATTGATTAAGATTCCGTGTACACGAAAAGGTGAAACACAAAAAGACAATGAAATATAGGATCAATGCTTTTTATGATCCCACAAGAGTATTTACCATCGAAAACATGTTTTGATACCGTAGAACAGTAGGTTTATAACATACAATGCATGCATTGTGAGCAATGGCATGACGCGCCACCTGGCGGTCTCTGATCACACGTACCAGGCTACATGTAGAATGGTGTAACGTGCTGCGCTCGCGCGAGTTTGTATCAACATAGGAACGTGAATAGCAAAGTCCGCAATATCTCATCTCCGCTGGTAAAAACACAAAATAGTAATGAGAAGGTAAAGACTTTGAAGCAAAGCTGTAATTTCGAGACCCCATTTTCTTACTTAGCGACATGCGTAGTAAAGCCAAAACGAATTAGACCCTCGAAACGACAATATAAACGTCAAATAACACAAGTCGACAGAAGGTTAGTGTTGCCATTAGCCAGTTTTGCCATTTTTCCTTGTTCAAACAAAACACTCTCGACGAAATCCCCTCTATTCAGTAGCTATTGGTGATTGTAGGCAATATCCGTGCTTATTTGACGGTTATAAGTATTTGGCAAACTTTGCATACAATTTAAATCTGTAATATACCCGAGAACTATTTCAATTTCTTTGGCATTCTTCTCACATGAACAAAGAGCGGGGCTATCATAAACACCGGAATGGGCAGTCGGAGGATTAGGGGTGCGATAAATATAATCCTCTCTGCAAATATGAGACAATTCTGCACCCGGTCCTAATACCGTTCGGTCATTGTTATTTTCCACGTGTAACTTTCAAACATGCGAAGCAATCAGAGGGTTTTATCACCATGGGGCATCGCAGATTTGTCAGCAGACACGTTCTAAATGAAACAACAAATACAAGATGTTTAGTGTTTCTCAAACCGATTATTCAAAATATGTATACCTGTTCGAATGTGTTATTTGCAAAAATATTAAACATATAAAGACAGTTGAACGTTTATGTATACCCGTCTCTCACCTCAAACAGTTTTAGACGTGAAACTAACCATACATTTATAAAAATATTCCCACCCATTCGAAATGTTGACTTCCAGTATTAGAGTTCGTGATCGATACTCTGACTAAATCAATATTGATGACGTAATAAATTATTGCGTAGACGTAAGTGTTTGCGTAGGGAAAGTCCGTGTGAATATCTAACACAAAGAGCGGGTACTCGGACCTAAGTGAAAAACCTCTTCATCGTAAATAAATACCCTATAGAGTCTGAACGCTCCGGAAATCACAATCGGTGAGATTACCGGTGTTTATAGTTGTCCTGTATGCACAGGGACTTCCAATGTTTTTGACTTCTCGCAGGGTCGGGGGCTGTTAGACCGTGAGTGACAGATACGAGGCAGCATCGTCACATGATTTCTCGTTAGGAATAAATAAAAGTTTCCTCCAAGTGAAGACAAACACAAAAAAAAAAAAAAAATCATTACAAATTCATGTACGTGAATGTAAGACGTACTCGATTGGTAACAACTTATTTTCGACTTCGTGATTAAGCGATTTCCAATTCACACTCGGCCTTTTTCAATAATGGGCAGCTGAAGCCAATATCGGTTGTGATAAAAATAATAACAAATATCCTTTATGTTTGTAGAATCGAGGTTCTCAGCTCATTTTGATTTGCAACCGCGCCCATACCAATTCTAAAACTTCTTTTTATAAATCTCATATGTTTAAGTTCACGGCCTTTCTCTGTAATGATAAACTAAATGTGAGAGGATTGTTTATAAATGGTGACTTTTGACCCATATCTTGAGTTAATACGGGTATTAAAAGATTTCGATTAAATCTATACCATTATACCTGAAAATGGAAACAGGTTGTGTAACATTTTCTCTTATTCTGACATTCTTCTTTTAGAAACAAAAACTGGACCAAAAACTTGAATTTCTGACCTGAAACCCTTTCCTAATCGTACTGCTAAGAATGGGCGATGATTAATACTTCACTTCAATCAACAATACGTGATTGACGTTTACCTTTTTAACCTCGGCTAGATTTTCGTCTAATCTTGGTCTGCATTTACGATTCTGGTGCCATTATTATGAAATACAAGCTAGTTTGTTACTAAATAAGCGAAAAGTTGGTAACTCTATCACACAAAACGTACGAAAACGCGATGTAACAACTTGAGTCTCACGCCGTGTAATCTGATCTGCGTGAAAATGGACAATTGTAGGGTGTCGTGACATATGACAATGAGTAACTGATCTGATACGACTGGGGCATTGTCAAATGTTTTGTACTTTCAGCACTTTCCCTTCATCATATTAACGTCCAATTTCATTATAAATCACACGTTTGTATCATAATAGACAGTACAGATAGCGGTGAAACTGAATGAAAATTCTCCAATATATCTCTCGATTCCCCCCTCCCATCCCCTTACCCACCGATCCACACCCCTCCATTGTTTATCAAAGAAGTCGCTTTACTTTAACTATTGTTATGATATATAGGCGGTATATGTGGTGTTTACGAGTCTGAGATACCCAGATACATATTGAATGATAAGTTAGAGTTCCCGGTGATACGTATTTCTACGTAGATGCTATCTACGCATGCCCACAGGTACGTGACTTCTACCTGATGTTTGGCGTCCACCGACGTAAAACGATATGTCTACAACGGTTTATTCATGAAATATTTACTCGTGCGTAAGTAAAAAACAACAACTCAGATCAAGATTTGAGGAGCCAATTTAAAAAAGTTTGCAGAGCCATAAAAATAAAAAAAGATATCAATATTAACTTGAAACGAGCAAGGAAATGAATATTTGAACTGTTGGTATAAAAATACTATGAGACAGCGGTTCGTTCCGCAAGAAGGTTAAGTCGATAAATGTAAAAAACATTTACAAAATCTTCCTTAATGTGATTGCTATCGAATCAAAAATCTAGATTCAGTTTGATAATAAAATTTTGTTTTTGTGAAGTAACCTACATTTTGTAATATCTGAATGGATTTGAAGTGTATGTCAGCATTTTTTAAGCATTTTCTTTAAAATATTGACAATGAACTGTTTTTGAAAACAAATGTGACGGTAATTAAGATATTAAGATACCGAATATAGAACAAATACCATTTTTTGAATTTGGTCATGGATGAGTACAATAAATACAAAGACAACTCACAATTCCGGTAACTAGGACATGGGCTTATCTGCGGTCATATAAACAATTTGATATAGTATTTATATTGTCTGAATTTTACTCCCACCATGTGAAACAATGAGTCTTTGTGCACTGGAGATAACTTCACTGACGTAATCCACGGACTGAAGAGGATATCAGAACTTCGAGCGTATAATTAAAAAACCGGACTGGAACTTAAACAAAACAAAACGAACTTCCGGAAAAGTGATAAAGATCAAGTCATTGAATGCATGATATCTGTATCAACGATTTCCTTTCAACTTTGCGTGAAGTTCATATCGTTAAAACATTAATCTGGTTAAGTGCTTATTGCCTTCCAGGTGCAAAACCACTATGCCATTTCCAATCTCAAAGGGTTACAAATTTGTTTAACAACCAACTTTTTGATTTCGTGAAATTTGAAACGACATGCGTAACAGTATTAGTGTTTTTATCTGTTTCTCTGGCCTCTGCTTGACGGAAGAAATCTTTTTAAAAATCTTATCAAGCTCTTTAAAGTATTGTGCGGTGAGATACTCGTCCCCAAAAGATCGGCAAGCTTATCGACGCACAAATACCTACATAAAATTACTTTTTGTGTTTGGAATTTTATGAAAATCTAATTAGTTGCTTTAATATGTTTTGTTGGAGTGACGCTGTGAAAAAGAATGAATTCACTCGAACCTTGTCGGACATAAAAGGATATTAAGCTAACAAGCCTTAATCACCGTAGGACGTGTTGAATGAAGTTCATTAGAAATTAGACACTTGTAAAAAACGTCTTTAACATTGTGAATGGTTTCGTTGAAAAGGGTTGACCCGCCACCCAGCGCGAATATTACCTTGTAATCAGCGGCATTCCGAGTGGATCAAATTACCTTCGGATTGTCTCTGTTTATTACCTTAATACTTCAGCTATTGTTTTCGTCGTCTTTTGTTCGATTGCTTTCATTTCAGCGTTTCAAAGTTTTGTTTGAGCGACAGCAGTCTCAAACATGGTTACTTCCCACCGTAAGCGTTAGTTTCTAATTATACTCCTATAAAGTTTAATATTACAACCACTTGGGATAACACCCCCCCCCCCCGCCCCTGAAAAATGAATCCGAAAGAGGATTTCTTACGGTTGATGATGCATTGAATCGATATATTTAAATATTGATTATATTTCGTATTTTTACAGATTATTGTTGGAAAATCAAATACACACGATAGAGAGGGGATCGTTCGAGGACCTTACCGAAATGGAGAGATTGTAAGTATAAAGGAAGTGCAGAAAGTCGTTTAGAGGTCAGCTGTTGTGTAAATAAAGGGCAGAGATTGCACTCTAGATTCAATCAAGTATGTTCGGGTTTTGTTGTGGTATTATTGCACCCGAATGTCATTGTTCTTTATATAGTACGCCCGCCTAACTCTACACATTAGGCCTACAACTAATTTATACTCCCGCCTAACTCTACACATTACAACTAATGTATACGCCCGTCTAACTCTACACATTACAAAACATCTCATTTATACGCCCTATAACACGGGCGATATGTTATCGTCACTAAAGCGTGATAGGGAAAAAATGTAATATGGGAATAATTGTGTCTGTTTCCAATGTTACCAATTTTTTTTAACTCCATACGTCCCTTCCTGTATATATTGACACGCATTGACTTATTTTGGAAAAAAACGCAGGTTCAATGTGTCATTTTTGGGGGTATCCAAATGTATACAGAATAACATTGTTGATAATGTAATAATCATCACAGACAGACAGACGTACAGCCCGAAATGAACGTCATCTGACAGTCTACATGACCCAAGTCACGCGTTAGTTCACGATATTCAGAGACACGATATATGTTATGCCTTATCCAAAACAGTAGCTCAATGATTGCTGAGCATTTGTCATAACAGTACTTTATCCGGCCTGTTTGTGATAAAAGATAACATCAAGATGTTGTAGCTATGAAACAGGCGGCAACATTTCAGTAGACTCCGCTCCTACCAAGTCGGTAAATAACCGCGTGACGCGGGATTGACGAAGGGTTATGACGTAATCACCCTTCAACTTGTCGACCCTATCGATAACCCAGATCTTGCTCAAATATAAATCACGTCCCTTAATAGGGGCTATTATCGGCCCCTATTGTAGTTACGACAAAACAGTTTGTACTCCATTATCACCAGCCGTGAGCGGTAATAAAATGCCGGTAATTGAATCGAACCCGTATCCGGTGCCATAGAGTCCAAAGATTGCTATGGTGTTTGCATAGGCGGAGACCAATATCTTCAATTGATTCTTTAACCTTTCTTGTTATGATGTTAAACACATTGCTTGTAAATGTCAACAGGTTAGGTAACTCTTTGTACATTGTAGTGGTAATGTGCCCGAGGTCGCTGGTTGCACGCCCTTGTCAACATATTTGTTAAGCCGGTTCATGTCTCGTCCTTTCGAAGCTGACCAGCTGGTACACATCTATCGGATGACCTTTCTGATGGTTAAGATAAGAATGTTACAACATCCTTAGGTCAACGGTTACAAATGCTGTTTGATAGCAAGTCTTAATCTGTCCTTATATTACAAAGAATTTTTAACATGAAGCAAAATCAACAGCTCTGGGGTGATCGTAATGTGTTTATATCGGTACACTAGGTAACCAGTGATTGTACCTGTTCCGTAACTTAGAATGTTTTGAATACACGTAACACACGTTCTGTTTAGAAATCATTGTTTAAGACGCGTTTGGTCTCCTTCAACTGACCCCCTTCTCTAAATGTTTATAGGTATACATTATCGAATGGTCGCTTTGTCTATCTCGGTAGTCAATTGCGCGGCAGTAAATCTTGACCACTCGCTGACCCCGGGGGTCAATCTTTCCTCTGTGATGACAGTTCGATTTCAATGATAATGATTTAGTATTGATACAAATCGCTGATCTGTGTGTAGATGGACAAGGTAGGCCTACAGCGTACTCAATCAGTTTCCACGGAAACCTCACAGGACTTTTTCCCAGACATTCGGACTCCGGAATAGCCACGGGGATTTATGTCTGAATTAGGAGCTTCAAAAATTACACAAAACACTTTATTCTATTCTACTTCAAGTCCCACAAAAAAGTATACATTATCTCAAAAAATAGTTCCTGTGTTCTCGCACAATGAACTCACCTCTTAGATGGACTACCAGTGATAAACTAATGTTAGTCCTACCTTGGTTTGGATTCCTTAGATAACGCTTCACCAACATTGCAAAATAAAACATATCAGTCACTTTTACCCATTATTAAATGAGGCTTTAATTATCCCGAAATAATTAATTTTTGGAATAACTTTTTTTTTTTTTTTTGGGGGGGGGGGGGGGGGGTGTTAGCGTAGATCCGCTTTCTAAATGAAATCGCTGACCGCGGGCGTGTGCCTGCGAACTATGGTCAAACATACGCACTAATGGTCAATTCTCGTTCTAACGTTTAGTATTTTATCAGAAACACGTCGTTGTTGACCGATGGTTGTCGAGCCAGACGTAGACTGGATACCCACTCACCCAGTTTCTTTGCTGTGACTGGCGATGTGTTGTGTAAACACACTGTTTTGACTTTTTTTACCCTGGTGAATGATTTAAAAAAGGAAACTGTAAAAAGCGCAACTGCCGATCCAATCAAAGTTTGAAACCCGTCTGTGCTAAATCAATCTTCTGATAAGCTTAGCGTGATAGGGAGGTTATTGACCGCTCGTGCTAGCTAACGGTTGACCAGTGGTGCCGACGATCTTAATCCTAACGCAGACTGACTTTTACCAGGTTGTATAAGCTAGGTATTGTATATTGGTCTAGTTGCATAAGCGATGTGCATTTCTTTTGCACAGCAATTTCGTCAAGTTGAATTTCTGTGATGAATGTCAAGGTGATGGCAACATATTTATTGTGTCATTAATGGCATTGTGGACAAATTTCGTTGACATTTGACCCTATTGGAAACGACCTCTAAATGTCATTCCCCAGTTTCAGACGGAAGGCAGCCAGGATGTGACATCCGACGATATCTGACGGATAGTTAGACACTTGGCCACCATTTTCTGGAGACTACTTCCTTTTTTGAACGATCTGTATATCATTCACCCATATCAGTTCTCACGCTTCTTTCAGTGGAATGTATATAATAAAAGTTAAAACTAAGATGACGCTGTCTGTCTTGTCGTTCAAGTGTACACCCGTTGACCCCCTCTCGAGAACCACGGCGAAAACACAACAGTTCAAGTATCGGGGAACTTAATTAAGTAGAATCGATTTGACGTTCTCGTAATATACTTAATTCATCGACAGACGACATCTAGCGGCGGTAAGATTAGATACGAGGAAACACGCGGGGACCGCGAAGACTCAGAACCACGTAGGCTTATTGTTGGACAGATAAGGCGGGAAAGTATTACCACGAATGTCTCAGTCGCTATCGCGTCGACGGCCGTCGATTTGCTGGTCCCGTTTAATGAGAAAAAAAAGACAGATCGGGAAATAGAAGACGAAACAATTTCACGAATAAAGGCGGGAAATCTATTAAACTGATTATCTCTGTATTAATCTGGCAACAGGTGTGTTATATAACGAGAACGATCAGGCGGAACTGTTATATAGCTGGATAGCTATTCCCGTTATCTTGAACGATCCTGTGGCGAAAACGCTTTTTACCCATTTGATCGTGATATCAATGAATTACCTGGGTACCATTTAAACCGGAAACAGTTTAAATGACTGACCATGGGATCTTGAATATCCCATAATACTTTTCATGACGACAAAAGGGGTATTGGATCCGACTGACGGACGGAAACACATTCTAGATAATGAAGCATTGAGTCTTATATTGCAGATCGGACTTGTGATATACATCGTTTTTGAAGTCGGAGAGGACCAGAATGTAAATCTAATTTAAGGAAAGAATAAAAAAGCAATTGTCTTAGAAAACAAACCAATCCCACAAATGTTTTTTTTATATATCTATATCAAGAAGTAAATAATTTATTTAAATCATTAAAATTACAGATAATTATGTTGGCTGCATTTCTTGAACCATGCTTTTGCTCAAGTGAAAATCCGGATAAATATATACGGCGATTGGTTTCAGTAACTCGATTAGAATAGGCTAACCCGGAAGTAACCTATTGCGGGAAAATCTGATCAAGAACAAACGTTGCTGGTCTCGGTAGTATGGTTTGAAAGTGGATTCAGTGTTGACAATGATTAATATTGATACCTTAGTGTTCAGTTTTATCACCACCAGCAGGTTTTGTCGCGTCTGGTAGCAACAATCAATATCAAACGTCGTCCGCTCCGGTCAAGCCACACCAGGGGCTTGTATAGACTTACATGATAAAATAAGCTAGAAATACCTGTGGTCCGGCAGAAGGTCTTGAGGGAAACCTCAGCTAGTCCAAAATAACTGACCTACCCCTTTATTTTATTTAACTATTTATGTTTTACATTTTTAAAAGGAGATAATTAATAATTTCGGAAGAAACTTCAGTGTAGTGATGGGTGCAGGATCGACTGCGGCTAATTACTTCATAGGTTGGATTGCAAGTGTTTGTTACAAATGTCTGAAATACAGTATACTGATATGGGTCAGCACACATAAACATACACGTTTATGTGTGCTGTGATCCATATCAGTATAGCATAATAATTGTGTGTATGTCAGACATTTGTAACAAACACCTGTGGTTGGATAACATAATTAGACTGAAAGTCTGTGATCAAATGGGACTTAGTCGTCAGACTTAACTTATATAATTAAATTGATGATCAGATGTATTGCTTATTTCAGCAGAGCATTTAATAGCAATTAAAAATGGTAATTCTGAACATGCAGCCAATATTTTCAAGCACATTTGATACAATTTGTGTTGCTACGGTAGAGGTTGAATTACAATGGTAGTGTATAATTGTTTTTCAGGAGATTGGACAGAAACCGACTAGTAGCTATTCCAGGACACCTGTTCAGTACAATGCCCAACCTGCAGAGATTGTGAGTACTCAACATTCATACAATATAAACTTATGTTTTCCTGGTGTAGACTTGTATTTCCAATTCAAAAACTATTGAAGTCGGGGGAAAAGTTGGAATTTCTTTCAGCTTTAAAAAAAAAAAAATCAATGTTGACATTCTATTTGGCTTACAATGTGCATACCACACAATAAATTTTGGTAAGTGTTTGCCAAAAATATGCACATTTTACAGCTGTTTTAACTGCTGAAGAAAAAGGCTTTGGTAACACAGTAACACATAGCCTTGTTGCAGGCCTCTGCATGTCTATCACCACTGTTAGAGTGAGAAATAGGGTCAGGAATAACCTGTGTAGGTTTCATTCACCTTCTGATTCCATACCCTATCAATTACTAAATATATACAGGTGTTAGCTCAAGTGTTACATTCACAACGCTATCAACTCCTAATGAATGTTTTCATTCATTAATTTAAATATTTATATACTGCACGTTCCCATTCACCTAGTGTGCTGTGATAAGTACTGTAGTATAGATATAGAATATTGGCAGGCCTAAACTGTGATAAGTCCACGTTTCTATAGCCTCATATCTACAAGGTTTTGTACTGCTTGTAGCCAATACATAAACATATGACTTTGGCGACTATTTCGTACCTAATCGCTGCCATACTGGGTTTCCTGTAATTCTGACAAGTATGAGCTAAATGTATACATCTGTGAAAATCGTCGTAATGAAGTAGGGACGGGATGTTGGCGTATGACACCTAAATACTATAGTCATGTTTACCAGTTTTTCTTTCTTACCCTAATTAAATAAGGGCCTCTACGTTTTTTTCGTTGAGTAGAATTTCAGTCGTGACAGGAAAATCTTAAATCTGTCTGAAGATCCAAGTATGAATCGTCACATACTCCGCAGCACTAATAATTAACCCTTTCACCACTGTAGACCATAATGGACTCATCCAGATCAGTGTATGGTAGGGTCTACTAAAGTTACCTAGGGGTGAAAGGATTTTTATTAATAAAACTATGTCTTCATATTTGTAAGGAGGATTATTCTTTGATCATAAAGTGGAAATATGTCTTCAATTTTTTTTCCACAAATAAGGAATTTAAATTTGACTGATGTTTCCATATGTACATAGATCACATTATAAATACATTTAATTTGTACTGGTACAGGTAATCGTATGTTTTGGTAACATTCCATCTAAATCTCCATTGTCATGAAAATTTGTCATCTTATTTAAAATGTACCCAGAAAGTCAAACACTATAATATTTAATCTACATGACACAGGTTGATCGGAATGGACTTCACTGGAGGGGAGTGCCATTGTCTTCTTTTCAAATATTTGTCAGCTTGAAAGATAGAAATACTATTCATAATGTATTTATTTTTTTATGTTTTAATATTCACAATCAAAATATTTCATAAATTGTTAAAAAATTATAATAATTTAATTAAATATTGTCATTTTTTTTTCTGTAGTCAGTTTAAAAATGTAAATCTGAGATGAAAAATTTAGTTGAATGATAAAACTAACTAGTCGGTGAAGATTGGCGACCAGGTGTCCAGATCTGTTTTCAATATTCCCGACTGACATGAATTGGTTCTCCGTAAGCTTGTGTACCAAATCCTACATTTGTGATTGAAGTCATGCCTTTTTTGTGTTATCAATGCGAGAGCCCTTTTTAACGTAGCGAGCAAACCCGTAAAAGAGTAATTTGAAAATCGTATAGGACCGATTGTTGTGTATATCTCCACAAAAGAGGAGGAAATCTCACCACATATCATTTGTAACCGACGGCACGATTTGAATACTGTACAAGTCACAATTTCCTGGCCGTTGAATTGGTGGTCGTGTTTTATGGCCGTGATGGGTTGATTTGCAATAAGAAACCGTTACAATGCACGAAAGAGATATCAAATATAAAATAAAAAAAAGTTTCAGGTGTCAATCAATTATAAACCTGATTGAGCATTTGACCCAGCTATTTAGTGGTGACAACTTCAGTCACGATCCTGCAACACTTATTGTTACTGTATCGTTTAAAAGTTAAGTGATATGATAAATCCAATTTAACTCATTCACCACTGAAGACACATTTGAACTCTTCCAATTCAAGTGTTGGAATAGTTCTTTATGAAATTTCAGGGGTGAATGCATTATTTGATGAAGCTCAGTGAGAACTGCAGAGACACATTTTTTCTCAATTTGAAATGAGTCTTGTTATTTAAAAAACATCTTATACATGTATATAATCTTGGAAAAAATATCTTATTATCATATTTTTTTTATTAGAGCTGTATTTTACTCACTGTAGTTTGGTTCTATTTATAGAATATTCTTCCATGTGCGCTAATCAAATTACTTCTTTCTTACGAAATTGTGTAAGATTACAAAATAAAATTGATAAAATGGTTTATATTTCTTGGGAACATTCTATAATGTAATCTGTTTTGGAAGTTAGTTTCCACACAAACATCAAACTTCAGATATAAAACAATAATGAATTCCATGTGAGTGTAGGCAAAACTGATGTAACAGATCAGGAAACAGGGCCACAAATTCAGGCCAAAAAAATAAAAAAAATGTTTCTTCTTTTTGCTCTCAGAAAAATAGCTAAGGAAGGTAGACATTTAGCAAATTATGTGTACAGATCATATGTAGACAAAGTTTCAAACCTTAACTCATTTACCCCTAAAGACACATTTGAATTATTCCAATTCAAAGGTTGGAATAGTTCATTATGATATTTCAGTGGTGAATGAGTTAACACTGTTTGTTTAAAGGTAGTGGGAAAAAAAGGAAAATTAGAGTTGATAAGGAACTGAAAACACATATTTTTTTTTTGACCTAATATCTTCATCAGCATGAAATCCTTTTTTGTTTTGCGGTGTAAAGTGGTGGAACTGTAATACAATATAGGTTTGTATTACCGAGTGCCATCGCTAAGGACCTTTGAAGTGAGCTGAGATGCTGATTGCTAAGGGGCTTGTTTGAATACTCAGTATTATCCTTTTCCCGACTTGACTTCTTATGCAACTGTATGCCAGATAAAGGGTATATATAATACAATATCAACTCGAGATCTGCAGTCAAGCTGACAGTAAAGCATGGTTAGCTTTACCATATAAAAATTAAAATCTTACAGATAAATTAACTTACAATTAAGTGACTGTGTAACAGAGGTCAGGATTTGTTACGATCGTCGATAGGGATGATTGAAGCTGTTGATGCAGCATCAGTCAAACTTACGACCAGTTACGACTAAACTCAGATGTCGGTTTTTCAACCTGACACATTCCAAGTTAACTAATCACAGAGGAAGCTGAAGTATTGGAATCAACTCGTAAAAAAACAAGAGTTTTTCATGATCAGATTGTGGGCTCCTAGCTGATTCAGAGAATGCATTTCCTATCGCATCTAAATGTTCAGAAATACATTTAATTGACAAAAGAACTACTGGAGTTTTATGTACATGCGCTCAAGCAATCAAGTAATTGAAAATAAATTTGGTATGAAATTTCGGAAAAATCTATATTTTGCCAGTTTTTTACTATCTGAAATCTTATTACTAGCTACATAAAGCAATTTAACAGTTTTTATGTATTTAGGAAAATTTACGAAAATATAACAATTTGGTTGGAAACGAGAATGAAGTAGATGACAAATCAGATTTAACTCATTCACCCCTGAAATTTCATAATGAACTATTCCATCCTTTGAATTGGAAGAGTTTAAATGACATGTCTTCAGGAGTGAATGAGTTAAATGAAGACTGATAAAATGTAATTGTTTGTGGAGCCCTTATTAAGTACCTTCTCTGATAAACCTATGGTAGCCTGTGGGATTCCCTGGCCTGTATATATCTGTACTTTCTTTAAAACATGTTATTTGGGGTCCGTTGATCTGTAAGTTGTAAATGTGTAAAGAATTTGTGAAATTATTATGATCACATAGCAAACCAAACATAAATAGACAAAATTTGGACGTAAAACTAAAAAATATCTAATCAAAAGATGACAAGATCCTACGGTAAAGTGGAATATTATGTTCGCTTACTGACGTATATCTTAATCCGGTATATCAATGGAAGTTAGTCAGAACACTCAAATGGGGATGTCAGCTGACAGGATATTACGCAAATAGATTTATTAAAGGCCTAAACATTCAGTGTTTATTGATTAGTTTACGATTTACATTGAAATATTGATGTCTTCATTCTTAGCCAATACGTTTATGAGAAATTTAAAAATAACTTTTCATTTTAACCTTGAGCGACATAGTCGGCATTCTTGTTTGTTCCTCCAATCGGTTAAAATGTTTCTTTTATTACAAAAAATATAAAAATGGGCTTGTGATACATTGCTATTGGCAGACGGAATGTTTCAACAAGTTTGTGACTTAATGAGCAATATATTTCTTGTAGTTTCTAAAGGATAGTTATTAGATTCCTACAGTTTAGTGTTACAGGTTAACTCATTCACCCCTGAAATTTCATAATGAACTATTCCAATCTTTGAATTGGAAGAGTTCAAATGTGTCTTCAGGGGTGAACGAGTTGAGGCCAATTGTAAGAAAATGTGTGTTTGCTTAAACTGGACAGAGGATTTTAAGTTTGGGTAGGTAGGTAGTTATACTGAGATTCTAATCAATTAAGCAGATGATTGAAAAAAAATACAGAATTAAAATTTCAAAAGATTATTTCTAATAATGTTTTTTAGGTCTATTGACAAATGTTATGACAAACAATCTATTATTTTATATTAGACCTAATACCGGTATATACTGTTACAAAATACACAATATGATGTCGTAATTCTGGCATAGTTGAAATAACACTACTGACAAGGTGTGTGATATATGAACTAATACCTAAGAGAAGACACCACAAGCCGATCCTCTCATAGATCCGACGGTGAAATAATAACACCTTTTGATTCAAGTCAAAGGCCTAACCCACTTCAAAGGGAGTTGAGTGATGATTTATGAAATTAATTCGGATGATTCATT